GTCATTTGAAAGCAGACTTGCTTTTGCGTTTATTTCCAAGAGAAAATTGAAAAGAAATGGTTGCAGCTGTTCTAAACTGGATTATGATCAGGGAGAACAAAGTTCATATTCCTACATAGGTGACCATGGGCCAGTCACCCTCTCTCAGCCTAAGCTGACTCACTGGATCATTGTGAGGAGAAAATGGAATGAGGAAAATCATTATTCCTGGAGGAAGGGTAAAATATATACATAATAAATGCATATAATTGAGAAAAGCTGCAACACTCCAAGGATCTGGCCAAATATTTTCAAAAGATTTGCAAGGAAACTTGGCCTCAGAAAAAACTGAGAATTTCAAAGCTTTTGACACCTCCATGCTGGAATGGGCCTGTGTATGACTACCAGCCATTCATATTCGTTCAGAAATAAATGAAGCAGCAAATACTATCTCCCAAGAAATCAGCCCTAGTCTCATAGTCTATAAACACCACTACATTCTTGTCAAAAATATCATTCATTTCTTTTAAATGTCAGCTTCCCAGTGTCAGGAAAACTTCCATCTTCATCTTGACAACAAGGCTGTTTGAGATGCAACAGAGGAATGCTATATCTCCGAGGCAGATGGGTGTTCAAGGGAAATGGAACATCAAATAATTTCTTACAGGATGTACAGAATCCATCCATACTGGATATGATCAGAAGCCATATCTGCTGACAATCATGCTGATGCTTAAAACTGGATTATTTTATCTACTTTTTGACAAGTTGGATTCCACACCTCTTTCTTAGGGCCTTTGCAGACTGCTAGAAATAGTGCAAATTGAATCCACTTTAAGGGTTAGGGGTAGGGAATCATGGGAACTGTATTTTATTGTGGCACCAGAGCTCTCTGACAGAGAAGGCTCAATGTCTCAGAAAAAAACAACAACAATTCCCATGATTCCCTAGCACTAACCCTAACCCTTAAAGTGGACTCAATTTGCACTATTTCTGGCAGTCTGCAAAGGCCCTTAGTTGTCCCAATTACAGCTCCGTTTGGTGAGAGAGGCCACATGTTACAGTAAACCTGCCCTGTCTACTTGCTAGGTGCTGCAAGAAGAAACCTCAGCAGAGTTTGGAAAAGTTTCTCCCTTAGATTACAATTGTCAGAATGCTCTCAGCCAGCATTGCCACTAGTTGTGCTACATAAGAAATTCTGGAAGTTGTATTCCAATGCCTAGATCCAACTGTTTGTGTCAATTAGAATATTGATTGAATAGGATATTAACAAATATGTTCCATGAGTTTATGGGTGTTTAGCTTGGATTAACTAAATTGGATTTGCCCCCTTCCCCAGTAGCTTCCAGCCTCTGTACCTGGGCTTCTGGTTTCTAGGATGAGGAACCTGGGAAATCATATGACTTGCAGGAACAAAGACTGTCTCATGGCTGCTAACTACCTCAGTCTCCCTGAGGATATTAAGTTCTTATCATTGAGAACAAAAACCTACCACTCATGCATACCACCCAACTACTTCTGCACACTGGGGATTACTCTTGCATAGAAGAGATGAGGAAGGCAGACATCTGATGGTAACAGAACAGGCATTTGCCTCCATTTCCTGCTTTGGTTTGATTAGTTTTATCAGTGCAAATGTAAGACACTCACTGCACACACTATCACAACCCCTTCAGAAGAATCTCATCCAGACTGAAATGCATGGGTGCATTAACAATAAATATTAATCCTCTGAAATTGACAAGGCAAAAATGCTCTTGTATTGATTTCAACATGCCAAGTGTTCTAGTAAGACTGAAAATAAGCCCTCTGAACCAAAGTCAGTTCTGGTGTTTGACAATGACAAACAAACATTTCCTCTCCATATTTGTTTCTTGATGTGACAACATATAATCCAGCATGTTTATATAAGCCAAAGAAAAATATGGATTAGTTTATGGAATAACAGGGTAAGACATATGATGCAAGGCCACTGTGTTTTGATCAGCACAGACCAATATGACAGAGAGAGCCTCAAGTATACAAAATCACAATGAATACAAAAGACTGGCAGAAAAGGTGCTTCTGGCTAATTTTTGAGGGACAAGGAAGAAAAGATGAGGCACAGAGTTCTGGTTGATTTGAAGTTAAACAACTTGTGTTTCTTTAGATATTGTAGGACTCTACTCCCATATTATATGGAAAAAACTTGTAATGACAGACAATCCCAATGGAAGACGCTCCAAACAGATATTTAGCATTTCCCTCCCCCCCTTATAGAATGAAGATATATCTGCTGATAGTATTAAACAATAGGTTTTATACAAAGCTTTTCCAGCTCCAGGGCACAACACTTTGACTCTTTTCTAGATACACCAGAAACTATCTCATACCAACCAGACTATCTGTCTAGCTCAGTTTTGTCAACTCTGACTCACAGCAGCTGTCTAGTTTCTCAGGCAGAAAGAAGTCTGTCATACAGCAGTGACTGGTGGCTTCTAAGGCAGTGGGCTGTGAATATACTCTGGATATACTTCAAATTTAAAGGAGTTATCCAAGGTTCTAAGCTCTATCCTTTAAACAGGTTCACTACCTTAGAGAGCTCCTTTAAACTTTCAATTAAAATCCGTAGCAGATGCATCACCCAATTGATACAGAAGCCACAAGCTGCCTCTGCTTTCATATCACTTGCCTGCTGATCATTTTAAACTGGATATGCTAAGGGTTCAGCCTAGGACCTTCAGCATGCAAATCATAAGTCACTGCTAGCTCACCTTAGCCTTCTTTTTGCTGGCATCCATAATCCATTTCCAGTCTGATCCATTGTAGCTAAATCCAAGCTTGAATTTCCTCATGAAGACCTTGTTCTCTCTGTGTTTACCTCCCTGGACAATTATGCCTCGCACGATCTTCTCTTCACCAAGGTCTATTTGGAGCCATTCCTTTGCATATGTGTGCGTGGCAGGTGGGGGTAATGCCCACCCTACTCGACTAGTTATAAGACGGACATTTTCTGGGATCCAGTTTCTCTCAAATTCATTTGATGCAGTAATCTGAGAGTCTGTGATCAGACCGGATACCATACCCAGCATGCCAGAGCAAGGATAATCTAAAGAAAGAGAAGAAAATTATATACAAATGATGTTTGAAGTGGTCATAGCACTTCACATAAGTTTTTTTTTTTTTTAGTAATTCTTTCAACAACCATATACAATAGATCACTGGACTGGATTAGACAATCCTATATGCAGGGTCAGAATGCTATGAGCTTGGAGTATTTGGTAGATGGTAACAGGCTGGAACTAAAGAAAAAGTTAACAAAAGGTAATGGCAGTGTGTCTCTGAATAAATTTTACCAAGTAAACCATATGGTTACGATACATTGGACTCCACTTGAAGGCACATAACAACAACAACAACAACAACAAAGACCAGAGTAACTAAAAAGACTAAGGGGCTAAGCAGACAGCACTTTGCACTGTCTTCAGAGCAAGGAAGGGGAGGGGCAGCCACACGCTGGGCGCCCCAACCCCTTCCCCAAAATGTCCTCGGAGCAGCCGGCCCTCCATACGGCTGGCGCTCCAAGGATGACCTCCCACTGCAGTGTCCATACACGCTGCAGCGGAAGAGTCGCTGAAGGTGTGCCGACAGCCTTTTGCAGTGCACCTTCAGCGATTTGTGGAAGGAGCGCTATTTTAGCTCTCCTTCCAGGGGCGGCGAAGCAGTGCCACGGGGCTGAGGTGTGCGGATACCTCGGCCCCGCGGCGCAGCTTCCTGGGGCGGCCCCGTGCCGCCCGTCTGCTTCCCCCTTAAGTGGCTGTACAGACCAGACAAAAGGGCCGGTGTCAGGGTGGAGTGGGAATGTGGTGACTGCACACCGCACACCCAGACTTTGCCCCCAAGCTGCCATCACATTGCCCCCGAACCAGAGGCAACAACTACATGCCGTGCGCTGCAGGAGTGAAGAAGAGCTGTGGTGGCGGCGAAAGGGGTGCTGGAAAAATGCTGGATTGGGGTCACAGCATGCAGTTGCCATGGCCCCGATCTGGTGCACAAAGGTGGAGTGTTAAGCCGCCCCTTACCTGCTGTCTGTTTTGCCAATATGAGACACAGCTGTGTTAGTCTGGAATATCTGTATGCAAAGGGATCTTGTAGCACTTTGAGACTGTGTGAAAGAAGCTATAGCATTCCTCACTCTCAAAGGTGCTACAAGATCCTTTTCCATAAAAAGATTAAGTATCTGTACATCTATTCTGTACCCCAGTTTAGGATTCCCAAGCCATTTATATGGTCCATGTATCCAGGAATAGCCATTTTAGAACACAAAACAGACCACGTGCTGGGGATTTTTCATAATCCTGATGGTAGCTACAATGTCAAACTAATTATGACAATCCTTTGCATGTTTATTCAGACATAAGTCTCACTGTGTTCAACAAATCTTATTGGAAGCTATATCTGCAGAAGATAGCAGCCTTCTTATATTTATTTTCTTTTCTATTAAAATATTTATAAAATCAGAATAGTCAATGTCAGTTTTATTTATAAGAAAATAAAATATCTTAGTCATTACCTGTTATTTTGCATCCATATACTTCAAATCTTAGGGATATCCCAGTTTCCCAGCTTGCAGGTTTAATTCTAACAAAACGTGTCAGGACTGGTTTGGGGAAAGTTCTGTAAGCAATGTCAGTGGGATTGGTGTTCCCCACGAACACCTACAGAAAGAGAGGAAGATATCAAACTTCTCTTGAATATATTTGAATATATCCCTAAATATATGATGGTTAATAACAATAAACAGATTTCACAAAGCATGGTGGAGATATGGGTAAAATCCCCCACAAACTATCATTGAGTTCCTGTGAATTCTGCAGACTTTGTTGCTGTGTTCCTTCAAGTCATTTCCAATTTATGGCAACCCTAAGATGAACCTATCAAGGGTTTTTTTCTGGGCAAGATTTGTTCAGAGGAGGGCTTCTCTTGCCTTCCTCTGAGGCTGAGAGAGTGTGATTTACGCATGGTCACTCAGTGGGTTTCCATGACAGAGTAGGGATTTGAACCTTGGCCTCCAAAGTCATAATCCAATGCTCAAACCACTATACCACACTGGTTCTCTGAGGACTAGATAAAATTAAAGCCATAATCACATATGGGAGTGTTTAGTGTGCTGTTCCACAGGTTTTTATTCTTGTTTTTTTAATTCTAGTTTAATTGGATTTCAACAAAATGTTTTTAGGGTTTTGTGGGTTTTTTGGGCTGTGAGGCTGTATTCTAGAAGAATGTATTCCTGACATTTTTCTTGCATCTGTGGCTGGCATATCAGCCTCACAGCCTGAAAAACCCACAAAACCTTCAACTTCAAAATGATTTTATTTTATTTATTTATAAATTTGTATGTGTTTCAATCTGTTTTATTTAAAGTTTTGTAAGCTCCCTTGAGCAGCAGTTTGGGGCATGACATACATGTGTGTGTGTGTGTGTGTGTGTGTGTGTGTATTCTCTCATCAAACAAAAGAAACAATAATGCCATACAAAGATAACATGCATCTGTTTTGATCAGTTAAAGAATTTCTACCAGAAGAAAGTCAAATTCTCCACTGACTGAGTTTAAGGAAGGTGACTAATTTCCTTCTTCATTAAACAATGCAAAACACCAAATTTCCTGATCTTAGGCTTTTGCCTTTTATGGGCAGTACTTCTTACACACTCCCCAGGTTTCCTGTTTTGTTCTTTGCTCAGAGCAGAGAAGGCCAAAGGAAGTTGGCTATCTCATCCAACAGACTTCAACTTATCAACCTATACACTTAACTTGTTCTTCATCTTCACAGTGGAATTAACTGATTTGAAACCATTCATTCTCTGTCCCAGGCCACAGACAACCTATTGCATTGAAGTTTCCCTGACGTGCACCTTCTATATTTGATTTGTTTCTTCCATCACAGTCTTGCTAAGAATTACTCTTCCTTTCTTAATGGGAAGGAAATGGTCATGGAAGAATATCAGCATGAATGTCTATACTATCAATCATCTGTTCAACTTATCCATATTAATTGCACAGGGAAGCTAAGCCAAGGCCTGTGGTAAAGCCTGGCTTTTTTCAGTATAAGAAGACAGACAGGATGAAACAGGAAGGCTGTTATTTGTTATGCATGATAAGAAAGTGTAGCCATAGTACAGTTGTTGCTTTCTGCAAGACTTTTAGGAATGAGCTAAGAACCATAGCAATGCTGAGGGTTGTTTTAGGCTTTGATTGGTAAATCTTGCATAATATCATGGTGCCCTATATCAAATCAAGCAACAGATATCTATCTCCTCAAGTGGTATTCTCTCCCTGTCTCTCTCTCTTTCATGCACACACACAAAGAAAAATGGAATCTTAGGCAAATCCTTCTCTTAATAAAACAGAACACATACAGCTAAAGTCTGTGGCATGAAAATTACTGTATTTCCAATTGGACTAACTTTGTGAACTGGTGCAATCCTTGCTAACTGCCAGCTCTTGTAACTCAGTACTTTTCTTCATGTCAGAAATCTGAACCCAAGAACCCACTTCAAACAATTCACCGCATATAGTCGTACCTCTGTATTCATGGGGGGTCCGTTCTGGACCCCCCACCCCGATTACGAAAATCCGTGAATGCTCAAATCCCATTAAAAGTAATGGCGGCGCAACGCATGCACACACCACCATTAACTAAAATGGGGACTTGCCATCCTAGGATGGTTAAATCTGTGGATGGCAAGTCTACCAATAAGAAGGGTGTATTTGTTTTTCTCCTTCACTAATTTGGGTGATCACAGCATTTTCTCTTTAGGGGAACCAGATGTAAAATTCAGCCAGCTCCCTTTGTATTTAATAGCTGTAAAAAAAAAGGGGGGATTTTGTTAGGGTTAGGGTTTTTTTTATGACAGGTTGTTAGAAAAGGGTGAAAAAGCTCCGCCTAGCAAAATGAACTTCTTCTATACGACAAACTGACTAAACCTGAAGAAATCTGTATCTGATCATCCTTCTCTCTCCTGTCCTTTCTCTAAACACAATTCCAAGAGAGAGAAAAGGAAAGACAATTGTGGCAGAGTCAACAGTGTCATAATACTTTCACTCAGGTCAATACTCATTTGTGCCTCACAGCTAGATCTTGGAAAAGTTACTTTTCTGGATTAGAACTCTCACAACAACTGACTGTGCTGGCTGTGGGATCATAGAATCACAAAGTTGGAAGAGACCTCAAGGGCTGTCTAATCCCCTGCCGTGCAGGAATATACAATCAAAGCATCCCTGACAGATGGTCATCCAGCCTCTGTTTAAAAACAACCAAAGAAGGAGACTCCACCATACTCTGAGGCAGCATATTCCACTGTCAAACAGCTCTTACAGTTAGGAATTCATCCTAATGTTTAGGTGGAATCTCTTTTCCTCTAGTGTGAACTCATTGCTCCAGGTCTTATTCGCTTGAGCTGTTGAAAACAATTTTGCTCCATCTTTAGTATGACATCCCTTCAAATATTTAAACAGGGTTATCATATCTCTTCTCTGGGCTAAACATTCTCTTCTCCAGGCTAAACATACCAGGCTCTCAAAGGGGGGAAGCACACGAGAGCTTCCCAGACGCCGCGGGACCGCAGCGCTGCGGGACTGCAGCCTCCGCACCGCGGCGCTCCTGCGGCGTCCCTAAAAGGAGCTCCAAATTGGCGCTCCTTTTAGAAGACAGGGAAAGTGTGCCCTAAACGCGTAGGGCGCACTTTCCCTGCCTTTTCCGCCGCAGCGTGTGAGGACGCTGCGGCGGGAGGTTGCCCCTGGAGCACCGGCCGTGCGGAGGGCCGGCAGCTCTGAGGGCAACCTCGGGAAGAGGAAGGGGCGCTGCGCATGCGGCTGCCCCTCCTCTTCCAGGGCTCGGAGACGACTCAATTAGTCGTCTGCCGAGGCCCAAAGTCACTTCTCATAGGACATGGTTTCCAGACCTTTCGACATTTTGGTCACCCTCGTCTGGACACGCTCCAGCTTGTCAACATCATTTTTGAATTGTGGTGCCCAGAATTGGACACACTATTCCAGTATTCCTGACCAAAGCAGAATAGAATGGTACTGTTACTTCCTTCAATATAGACATTGCAGTTCTGCTGACATCTAATCAGTTGCAGACTACTACTATAGATAGTAACATACTAAGAAATACTCAAAGCTAGCCTATGTCTTCTGTCTCTTTTTACAACTTTCTTGTATCCATGTTTATGAAGGTTTTTAGCATTCATTATACTGAATGATGTCAATATCATTCATCTCTATCCTGCCTTTTAACTATTGTGATAGTCAAGACTACACACTAAGTCCCACTGAACTTTTTTCTGACTATAAGAACATAAAGGTTCAAACCTCTCTTTGAAATCACTCTCTGAGGCCATCAGCACAGACCTTTCTCATTTGCTTGCTGTCAAAGGTGCGTAAACTGCTGTGTTCAAGGGAAAGGGCCTTTTTCAATGATGGCCTCACTTATCTGGAATTAACTTCTGTTTGAAGTTATTAGCCTCCCACATTTGCTGGTCTTCAAGAAATGTAATTGCTTAATTATCCTATTTGTTTATCCTGTTTTTTCTATTATTATTTGTTTTATAGTGTTTACATTGTATTTATTATATTATTTGTTTTATATTATTTTAATCTTGCATTTTACCATTAAATATGTCATTAAAATAATTGCAATTAGATATAACGAAAAGCCTTATTGGGTCAGACCAATCATCTAGTTTGACATCTTATTTTGTGAAGTAATTATCTAGATGCCTCTGGGAAGACCACAGACAGAGCTTGAACATAATTGCCCTCTTCTACTATTCCATCTCAGCAGCTAATATTCTATAACATACTATAAAACCACCATGGTATCAAAATTGGGCATTGTCACATCTTGATATCGGTGCTATAATCACAATTGACAAGGTCTATAGTCCAGCATCCTGACTCTCTCTAAGCTAAAACTGTGCACTGCTGCCATGTTTACAATGCAGTACGGAGTAGTCATGAATCCACTGCACCAAGACAAAGAGGCAGGACTCAGCTGTATTAGTAAAAATGGCAGGCTGAAACTTATATTAGTGAGAGATGCCATATGCAATACTAACTTCCAAAATCACCCCATCCATGCCTTGAATATTGTATTGTATAAGTAAGAATGGGTTCATGCTTGAGCAAGCCATAGCCAAGCTGTTCAGTTAGGGATGGGCTGTAACTGTATTTATCCACATCACAGATACGTGATTCCCCCCAGTCATTCCAAGCTCACTCAGGATTACTTGCACAGTTATTTACAGTGCACAGTTATTTAGATGGCTCAGCATTCTCTTCCCTCATCTTCATTCCTGCCAGTTGCGATGAAGCCCTTCACACAATGCAAGAATTATAAACTACAACCAGGGTGTTGATGTAGGAAGACAAACAGAAGAAGAAATAGAAATAATAAAGCCAAAGTCCCAAAAGCCCAAGAGGAGGCAAAACAACAAAACTCTACAGTGGTCCCTCCACATTCGCTGGGGTTAGGGGTGAAGGACCCACCCCCCCGAATGTGAAAAAACTGCTATTACAAAAACACTACTCTTTTTATCTGAGAAAACACTTCTCTAGGAATCTCCAGGTCCTCCAGTGCAACTCTATGGTCAACACCTGCCAGAAGTTGATCCTACAATCACGCTGCAGGACCTACAAATGCCTAGAGAAGTGTTTTCCCTAGGAGATTCTAGGTTCTCGAGTACAACTCTATGGTCAACTTCTGGCAGAGTGGCACTAGAGGACCTAAAGATTTCTGGAGAGAACATCTTAATCAAAACTGCAAATAATCCACAAATCCACAAAAGTCAAAGCTGCAAATGTGGAGGGCCAATTGTATAATTGTATGGACTCCCCCCCCAAAAAAGAAAAGGACTCCAGTAGATCTCAATGTTGATGTCATTGTTTCATCTCTGGCTACATGGAGATGCTTCTGCAATCCTGTCTGTTCCCTACAAAGCATGGAATGGTTGTGACAGCGATCTTCTTGGTCTTAAGGCTGTACCTAATAAGATGCTAGCCCCAATGATATTTGTCATTTTCCAAGCTGTAACAATTGGTTGTTTTACTACAGGATTATTATTTTATCTTTGTACATACAGTTTAGCTAAGTTAAGTGGAGCAAGGTGTTTTTTTTTTAAACAAAAGAAAACCTATTCGGGAAATACTGTAGAAAATCTAATGCAAAGAAGAAACTTTCAATATTTCAATACTTGTCACTTCTGTGTTACAAACATTTGGGAGTTCTTTTTTCATTTTTATATATAATAAAATGAATAATGGTTTTGTTTAAAAAGAATAAACAATTTTAAGTATAAAGTACTTTAGAAACCCATGGGCAGTCACTGCAGGGATAAAAACCCTTACCAAAGGTTTATTATTTCCATCTTTTACAGAAATCCAGTCTTCACCATTAGAGCTGACATCCACTCGATATGTTTTCAAAAAATACTTTTTCTTGGTTTCCTTTGAGATGGCTCCCTGGGTCCCAATGGCAGAAACAAAGCGGAGAAGGCCAAGGTCCACCTACAGACAGAACAATAGAGGGAGAAACATGCAGAGAAGTGAAATATAACTATTGATCCTAATGCAGGGGTAGGCAACCTAAGGCCCGGGGTCCGGATGCGGCCCCCCCAAGGCTTTTGGACCAGGCTCAGGCCACTGCTGCCGCCGGCTGCCATGATATTGATTATTGTTATTATTACTTGTTCTTGGGGTTTTCTTGGCAAAATCTCCACAGGGTTTTTGCCATGGCTTTTCTGGGGCTGAGAGAGTGCATGCATATTTTTTTAAATTTTTTAATTAAAAAAAATATTTTAATTAATTTATTTATTTATTTTTGGTGCTTCGGCCCCCCAATTGTCTGAGGGACAGCAACCCAGCCCCCGGCTCAAAAAGGTTACCTACCCCTGTCCTAATGTCTCATGCCTTGATTCAGAAGTGTGATCCAACAGGTGTGGCAGGTGTAATTGTTTTTTCTACACAGAAGATTTGTGAGAAAACTGGTCAGAGGTATTTACCCTTGTGTGTGCAATCAGACATGGAACTCTCATGCACAATGAAAATCACAATAGTTTCCAACTGCTTGTCCTCCACATAAACAATACAGTACTTGCATTTACAATCTAAAGGCAAAGGCTGCATCCACACTGAATAAATAATCCAGACTGACACCACTTTAACTGCCATGGATCAATGAAATTCTGGGAATTGTAGTTTTGTGAGCTATTTAGCCTTCTCTGTCACAGAGCTCTAGTGCCATAACAAACTACAATTCCCAGAATTCCCTAGCATTGAAACATGGCAGTTAAAGTGGTGTTGACCTTGATTATTTCTGCAGTGCTGATGCAGCCATAGATGTGCTAGTCTGGATCAGTATGTAAAGCAGAGGCAGGCAACCTTTCTGAGACCTGGGCCGGTCTCCTGTAGCCCAGGTCTCAGCTGGGCCAAGGGGGGGGAATTGCGCGCGCACCCTCCATCGCCACGTGCGATCCCCCTGTGCACGCGGCTGCCGCCGCAGAGCACACGGCCACAGCTGCCGCGGCACATGTCACGGCCTCCATTTTGGAAATCAAAATGGCAGCCGTGACGCGGTTGCGCATGTGCAAGAGTACTGCGCATGCGCAAACGTGTTGCGACTGCCATTTTGATTTCCAAAATGGCGAGCGTGGTGAGCGCGGCCGCAGTCCAGTAAATCCGGGGCCAGTAAGTCCGGGGCCCAGGGTGTTAACCGGCCCCCGGGCTGTAGGTTGCTGGTCCCTGATGTAAAGGGATTTTGTACAACCTTTGAGACTGGGGTCCAATACACACTGCAGAAATAATCCAGTTTGACAGGACTTTAACTGCCTTGGCTCAATGCTAGGGAATTCTGGGAACTGTAGTTTTGTGAGACATTTAACCTTCTCTGGCAGAGAGCTCTGGTGCCACAATAAACTACATATCCCAGAATTCCCTAGCAGTTAAAGTCCTGTCAAACTGGATTATTTCTGCAGTGTGGATTGGATTTAACTGAGAGAAAGAAGTTGGTAGCATAAGCTTTTGTAGCTTAAATCTACTTCATCACATGCATTACTCTTTACTCCAGGCGTGTGCTGGAGTAGACTTAAGTTTACAAAAGCAGCTTACGCTACTAACCTCTTTCTCTCAGTTTTCTTTTTCCCGGTCTCAAAGGTTCTACAAAATCCCTTTGAATAGTAACACTTGTAAATTTCAAAACTTACAAACAGGTATTTGTTTTGTGTCCATCTGTTGTATTTTAATCCCCCTTCCCCCTCCTCACATCTGGAGACAATAAATTATCTCACTGACTGGTTTTCCTGATATCTTCATGTTAATATGAATCCACAAGGCTATGAGTGGCAATGGTACATACATGCAAGTATCTAGTCACAGATCTTCCAAACCTCCCCAAAATGTCAAAGGACTCTCTGGAACAGCACTCTATGAGATTTAAGGGCCTACTGCTGAATTGGAAAATCACCAAATCCCTTTAAATTGTGTTCATGAAAACACTTTGTGTGTCAATGCACAGGTCTTTATGAATCCCAGTTATTGCATTAACCCTCCTCACACAGCAAAGCAGCTGAATGCTGCAGAAGCAAATAGATCAAGGGTTAGATGAGACCAGGAATCCAATATAAAACATTGTGTTCCATATGTGTGTGTGAGGGAGACAGAGAGGGAGAGATGTTTTTAGTATGTTAACCTATTGCACAACCAATCATACTTCTTTATCTCAGTTACCCAAAATATGTGAAAACATTTGCTTGACTAGTTATGAGGAACAAACACTTAAACAACTGAATTTCTTAAGTATCATTATAATCAAAACCAAACATGTCTTTCCCCCTTTAAAATGTAGCATTTGAGGACTGTATGTAGATGTCTGAATGCCTCTTGCACGTCACAAGCTTTTAAATTATTTTTGAAACTTGCAGGATACAGATTGTATGTCTCTAGTGTCCCACAAGCATCCTTTTTCCTGGAAGTATGTCATACATCCAAAAGCAAGCATGGGGGTGAAGTGGGTGGGTGGATGGGTTAAATCAACATGCTTGGCATTCTCTCAGGAAAAGTATGAAGGAAGCCCAACTGAAGACAGAAGGCTGCTATTTAGATCTGCATGGCAAATATGCATGCCTTGAGACATAAAAAGTCACTATGGGCCTCTACAGACAGTGTTTTGTGCCGTATTGGATGCAGGGAAGGGAAGGGACAGCCACACGCCGGGCGCCCCAATCCTACGCCGAAGACGTCATCACGGCACGTGCTGCTAGGCACAGCATGTGCCATCAGGACGTCATCATGTGCAGTGTCTTAATGCACTGCACCGGAAGAGGCACAAAAGAACCGCGCAGTGGCTCCTAATGCGTCCCTTCTGCTGGCTCCGAAAGGACCACAGCATTTTAGCGCTCCTTTCAGGGCCAGCAGAAGGGAGGATTGGGGCTGAGGCATGGGGAAGCCTTAGCCCCAATCCTCCGCTTCCCAGGACGGCCTATGGCCGCCCGTCTGCATCCCCCCTATCCTATCTTTGTTAAAAAGAGTACCGACTTCTGGTGTTTCTGCTAAAACTTTTTAAAAAGGCTGCTAAAACTCAGACTTGCATTTTACAAATGTTCATGCAGATTCATCCTGTATCTAATTATGCATATATAAAAAAGCCCAGATTTTATTGGCGGGTTGCAGTGGAGTGGCTGTAAGGTTATTGTTAGTTGTCATGAGAAATAAACAATTGAATAACACTTGCAACAAGTTCCTATGAGCATCCTTGTCCTCCTGCTGAAATGCCTGCCACCTGGCTTACTGTTTCATTTTTAGAAAATGTATCCTGGCCATACAACTACAGTACAACAATCCAAAATTCACAAAACAGCTATACCTTTATTAGGCCAACCAAAATGGACAAAATACATGATGTAATCTTTCAAAGCTCCAAAATGTGCAACATGTATTTTGTGCATTTTGCTTGGCCTAATAAAGGTATAGCTGTTTTGTGGATTTTGGATATTATCGTGTTTCACTTTTGCATGTGTGGGTGCTTCCAAGCTGCCTGCCGACTAATGGCAAGGATTATTCAGAGGTGGCTTTGCCAGTTCCTTCCTCTGAACTTGGTATTCATTGGTGGTCACCCATCCAAGTACAACCCAGGGCTGATCCTGCTTAGCTTCCAAGATCAGACAGGATTTGGTGCCTTTAGGATATTTTGTTCACTTTTACCTCCCTCCAATAAGGGGCCAATAAGGTGATTAGCAAATTATGTCCCATCTTTGCAGCTGGTGATTTCGAAGCATTCAAAGCCCTTTCCAAAGATGGTAAGGGAGTTTTGTTGTTTATGTGTGCCTTCCAGTTGTTTTTGACTTATGGCGACCCTAAGGAGACCCTATCATGGAATTTTCTTGCCAAGATTTGTTCAGAGGAGGTTTGCCATTGCCTTCCCCTGAGACCAAGAACATGTGACTTACTGAAGGTCATCCAGTGGGTTTCATGGTCAAGTTGGGGGTTGAACCCTGGTCTCCAGAGTTGCAGTCAAACACTCAAACCACTATGCCACACTAGCTCTTGGAGTAGTGAAACAAATAAATAAAATTGCTTCCAAAGTGGAAACACAGCAAGACCACCTTTCCTTTAATGGAGGATGCCTTATTATATTCTGGCATGGAGGCTTTGCTGCCATCCATTTGGGAGGCATGCACCAGAATGAACTGTCTGATGCATAGAAAATACAAAAGTTACTTTCTGGGACCACAACATCTCAAATACTCCATACAATAGGACCAATAGCCATGCTGGCTGGATAGCAGTTCTCATCTAAAGAGTAACTTTTATATCTTCTGCTTGTACAAGACCATGGGTGGTGATGGCTGGGCATGTAGTTTACCTCCCTGGAAATGAGAGGGTTTGCAGGGCCAGAAATGGTGGTGAGTGACACCTCTGAGCTACTCTAGCATATTGCTCACCTTTGACAGAAAGATTTGTTCAGAAAGAAGGAAAACATTCTTGCTCTTAAAAGTTGAGAAAAGGAGGTAGAATAGCCATGACTAGTTTGTTTCTAATGAAAAGCAGACGTATAAGCTGCAGTTGGAAATAAAAGTACCGTGGTGGATAGGCTACTTCATCCTTTTTATTTGTCCTTTTCTTATTAAAAATAACAAATATTTAGAGGAGGGTAGGGTGAAGAGAGAATCATGCCACTCAACATCACTTGATGTTTGGAACAAAAAACAATCTGAAGGTTAATGGGGGGACTATCAGCATTATCTTGCAGAACAATCTCAACTTAAGTTGAAAAACTCTCCAAATTGCACAGTGTTGATTGCGAAGAGTGTTGTATTTTTGATTTGTGTCCAGTTATAACATTCAGTTCCAGGATGAAGGACTCTTTAAAAATCTAGATGTTTGAAGGGATGCAGAGCCGAGTTACTTAAATGAAATCCTTTCTTTGAAAAAATCAAACAGCTCTTGAGTTCTGAAATGATTATGGTCCCAGGATCATACTGTTCGAAGTGATTTGAAATAACTCTAAATGGAATTTTCATGTGGGTATTATTTTTCTCCTTCCACTTCTTTTTTTTTTTATCTTTCTCTCCACCCTTTGAAAATAATCAGTAAATGCTTCATTTTGAGTGAAGTCAAGCAATGATCCATTATAAGAATTCTACAAATTAGAAACCATAGAAAACCCTAGTCTCAGAAAATCAGAAAATGGCTACTTCAGGAGTCAATAGTCTG